TGTCAGTCTTTTATTTGTTTGCAACATTCCTAAAGGCATATGTACATTTCTATTCCTATATTTTTACATTCCGTCTATATCAATCTTATCATTACATACATTTATGACGTAATATACAATAACGCTCGTAGCCAAAGGAATGAAAAAGCCTTTAGCGGTGAAGAAAAGAAAGAGTGAAATTTGAAGGAAAGAACCGTTATCTCGGAATGAAAAGAGAAATCGTCGTCGTGGAATGTATTTTTTTAAACCAGTATTTCGATTTGATATGCTAACAATCTTACTTAAACTTATTTTAAATTTATCTTCAGATATTTCGTAGACAGTGAAACAATTCGTACAACATCTGAAGATGAACTTAAGGCGGTCTTAAATTTAAAATGCGACCGTGAATACGGGTCTTAAAATGAATCGGCTTCAGTGTTTTTAACTGCATCAGTAAGGGGAATATTTCACCAATATGGAACTTTAGGTGTTACAAAAAAGTGTAATAAAAGTGTATTGAACATGTGCAGAGTGCCGTTTTCATCATGAACTCTTTAATTTTCGTCAAAGTAGTGAACACACACGGAAAAATGTATACTGCATTCAAATAAATTTTTTCGTAAATAAAATTTTATAATATTCTGATAAAAAAATGAATACTTTTTTGTCTCTTGAGTACATGATAATGAGCTTTTTCAAAATTTGAGTATATGTGTGACGACTATTATCAAGAAAATATTGTTGGGAACTTTATAAAGCACTACTTTCTCATTAATAATTCACAAATTTTATTTTCAATTAAGAAGTCAGTTAAGCAAAAGCATATATATTGCTTTGTATAATTAACTTTTAACCTTTATAAGTTAATATAAAGGCCGTGCATTTTTACTTTAACCGTGTTAAAAAAACATATTAACTCACCTAATTCTGGATTGTACCAAATTTAACATTGCGTGCTTGCGGTTTCCGTGTATTTTGCGTGCGATAACACATAGCTCTGAAACTGCGTTCGCAAAATGCATAAAAAGTAGAAACAGTTGCCACAATTAATTGATCCTTTCAGCGACATTTCACCGATTGCAGTGCTAAACTATTTGATGCGGACGAGATATGCATACGGGATGAGATAACCAGAAGCAAAAGTAGCATTTTGCCAAAGAACACACTGTTTAAGCGTCACAACGAGCATCTTGCAAATCGCGAGATAAAATTCGCGGCGAATCACACGTAGCTATGGGGAGAGATTACAGGGCGGGTCGCAATTCTAGACGCCCGACGGTATTGACACGTCCACTACCACGGTTTTTACTATAGAATTTCTCTCCACAGACCACATTTGTGGTCACAATTTTCTGATTCATTTATATGTTTTACCAGAAATTTGATCAATCTTCAACCATACATTTTTCCCGTGTGTAATTTTATAAAATAGACTTAGTTTGTTTGCATAAGAGTATATGAAGAAAAATGTTTCGTTGTGTTGTACACATGTGACGCTGGTAGCGAACGTGTTAAGTAAAATTGAAAATTTCGAATAAAAATGAGCTCGAAGTGAGATCATGGTGCACGTACGACGCGAACATATTAAATCCTGGCACTGGTCCCGACAGGTTGCCGACCGCAACCGCGTTCGTATAACACAGCATCTCTGCATTTCTCTCATGATCAGCTCAACATGAGACGACGTACGTGCGTATATACGTATGCATGCACGTACGCGCGGTGTACGAAGGCATAACGCAACTCGCGACCAGGGTGTCTACACAAAAGAAGAACGTGTCCGTCGTAAACGCGACGGCGTGGTTCGCCCCAGCGAGAAAACTGAGAGACAATGAGCTCCGCACCTGTCGGGTTTCTTCGCGCGACACGCGGTTTCCGCGAGCGAATGGGGTGAATTTTTAGACTGGAGATGCGCGAGTCGAATATTACTGTCCGCACCAGATTCTGCCCGGAGGATCAACACCGTTTTCATTGCGTTTCAACGCGGACTCGACCCGCGTTCGTGGCTCGGACTGCCGCTCGCGTTTACGCTTTCGTGAATAAATGACACTTTTTGAATAATTAAATGACAATTTATGAACACGTTTTTATGAGAAACTAGAAGAACGGTACTAACGGAAATTGGGAAGCACGTCGCACTCACTGATCGTCACAGATTCGCTCGGTTTGCTAGCTCGGAACTGACTGTTCTTTCTTCTGTCCAAAGAAACTTGTTTGACCGAGTGATTCTTTTGTTAAATTTTTTAACGTTTGGTTTTATTTACTTCAAAGTTTTTGTGACTCAGGAATAAACTTTTTCTCATTTCCGTATGCTCGATTTATATTTTTAGAAATATTGTTATATTTTAAAATATGCAAAAATTTGCTATGTGTTTCTAGCGAAACTGTAAAAACGGCGAAAATTTTAGCAAAATTTCTGTATACATCACTAAATGCATAATAAAATTGGAAAGAATTTATTTGGAAAAGGAAAAAACTATATTTTCTGCATGCAGTAAGTTTAGCATTTTAATGAAGAATATCAAATTAAAAGAAGAATTTAGCTCGCTTGCTACATAGAGTCGGGCCAATTTTTTCTTCGATAAAGAGAAAGTTTTATATATTCTCGCGAAAAAGATCGATTTTTCTTTTGTGTGTATGACATAATAAACTTTCCTCAATTACATAGTATATTATAGCATTATTCCGATATTTTTGAAGCTTTTGCAGTGTGGAATAATGTCAGTTTTTTGTCGAAGCGTGTATTTGTCCTGTTATCTCGCTCGATATTTTTATTTTTTGTTATTATTATAATTAATGTTCTTATTTTTAATGTTATGCTGCTATCGACGTTGCTGAAAAAACAAGAAAATTGCCTCTGGAAATATTTGTTTCAAATATTATACAAATATCCATTATTTCTCTCGGATTTCTCTCACCGTGTTTTTCTCTCTTTTTCTCGATAAATAATTTATTTACTTGAACATAATAAGGTGCACATTAGCGAAGAGCGTTGCAAAGCTTCTTGTGCAAATATGCAAACAAAGATAGGAAATATTTTGGCGCGAATGACATGTACGCTGGGTGAGGAGACAAGAGATTTGCCGACGCAAGAATCTTGCGAGAACGATACTTTAACTACTAAACATTATAAGAAAGAGCAAAACAGCTTCTCGGTCGTGTCGCGACAACACCAAGTGAACTATATAATAGGTCGACTTCGCGACAAACATCAGTCGTCACTCTGCCTATCTTACAATTTGTTAATGAATGTAAACGTCGAAGGAAAGGAATCTCTCGGCAGGAGAGAACTCTTTAAAAAGTAATCTAGCAAATTTGATGTTTTAACTAACAAACCAAACGGCAAAAGATTTGACAAAAGAATCGCTGCTCTAGACCAAGCAAGTTTTTTTGAACAGAAAGAAGAACAGTCAGTTCCGAGCTAGCAAGCCGAGTGGATCTATGGCGACCAATGAGTGCGCCGTGCTTCCTAGTTTCCGTTAGTGCCGTTTTTCTAATTTCTCATAAAAACGTGTTCATAAATTGTCATTTAATTACTGTTTTTTTTTATGTTGATTTTATATGATTGATACGAGCAATAATTACGTGGGAATTTCCAACATTTCTCCACTCTCGTCAAATCTGTGGTGTATATTCGAGGCTCCTGTACGTGCATAATAAGTAAGTGACAATACGACACATGCACGCAAGACAGATCGCCGATCGCGCGAAGCCAAAAAATTGCAAACTAATTACAAAGTGGCTCTAAAGTGCCGATAAACACACGGTTGAATCAATATTCACTGTCGCAATATCAGCAGCATAAGACATCGAAAATTCATCGGTACTTACGTTAATAACGACGGCGTTTTCCTTAATACGCTTTTTATCCTTATTTCATTATCGAGTGGAGACATTCGACGACTGATGCTATTTTCTCGGAAAGTGCTCGCTCGAAAACCGTGTTTCACTGTGTTACACGAAAATTTGCCAAGAAGCAACAAAATTTCTCGTTTAAAATATAAAATTGTTAAATCCGTGAAGAAATGTTCAGTATACCTGAGATATCTGAAAATGTAAAAATCGCGCTTGTCAAATTACTGGAGAAAAATATTTGCATGCAAATCTCAGAAAAAAATCAACATTTTAACTTAAAAATATCATTTTTTATAATTATAATATAATTGCAATTGCATAATTATAATATAAATACCATGTACAATTATTCATGTATGATTTAACAAACGGTAAAGTCAATTTTTGTTATCTGTGTCCAATTTTTATTGAATTTTTATTGAATGTATTTCGGGATGTTATTCTCGCACTATAGGGGAATATAATTACATTATATTATATTACCTAATTATATTATATTATATTATATTATATTACCTAATGAGGCAGAGCGAGGAAAAACCGTTCTGCAAGGTGACCCCCTTCCACCATCCCTTTCCACCTATAGGGTAGACCTATTTCCTCTTCCCCTTAACTCCCACTATGCCTTTTCAACAGCCAACCAAACTCGATCGAATAGCAAAATTTAGACAATGCAAAGCAACGCGCGACAACTTCTCGTTAAAACTCATTATACACAGAGATTGTCTCTTTTTATGAATATTAAAATAATTATTCTCAATCCTCGTTTTAATACTCATAAAAAGAGACAATCTATATAATGAGTGTTTGTAATGAGTTTTAACGAGAAGTTGTCGCGCGTTGCTTTGCATTGTCTAAATTTTGCTATTGCTGGGTGTGTTTGGTTGGCTGTTGAAAAGGCATAGTGGGAGTTGGGAAAGAGGAGGTTTACCATAGATATAGAAACACACACATACCATTAGGCGCCGTAGGGGGTGGAAAGGGATGGTGGAAGGGGGCACCTTGTAGAACGGCGATTCCAATAAGTGCATCGCATTTTTCCTCGCTCCGCCTCATATTTACCCCAATTGTCTGTAAGTTCTTTCTCCCACTCCGATATTCTACGTATTTCTATGAGCCTGAAGCATCTTCTATTTCTTTATTAATCGGTTACCCTTCTTTAGGAACAGCAAGCTCGAAGCGTACCTGCAATGTCGGCCCTGAGCGCAGTGGTGGGGAGGTTAAGATGAAGTCTGCTTCTCGGCTGTCGCCTAGCTTAGTTTGTAGCCGACTGCTCTCGGAACAGCATCGGACGAACGTCGATATACCGGTACGCGAGTGATAGTGTAAAAAAGAGAGAGAGAAAGAGAGAGAAAGCAAGGAAGAAAGAAAGAGAGAGAGAGATTGAGTCGCTATACTCTGATCTTTATTTAAACGCATTACGCCGATAATGAAATTCTATTCTTGCTTGGCACAGCACAAAAGTGACCGAAGCAGACATAGTAGCAACATCGGCGACACAAGCAACGTTAGTATATCATTTCGGTATAATACTGTCGCTAACATAAAAACAAGTAAAACAGGTGGGCCATTGCTTTCGTGTGAACGATTAGATCGTAAGATCTCGTAATAATTGTGGGTGCTGGTGTTTCGCGCGCGGGTCTAGCGCATTCGCGGTTAACGCGGCACTTCTGTGAATTTGCGCTCGCCAAAAACACGCCCGCCGCAAGATCAAAGAAGGGAAAAAGGGAAAGGGAAAAGGGGAGGGAAAAAGTGTAGTGTGTGAGAGGGAGGAAGGAAGAGGAGCAAGACAGGGAAGATAGTAAAAGCCAAGATTTGTGCAGTCGTCATCGAGAGGAGCAACATACAACAGTCCATCAGCTAGTCCTGTCATTACATCTCCGGCTGTAGTGCAACGATCATCACGCTTTGCATCGTTACATCGGAACTTTACTTGCAGCAAGATGTTTGTGACATATTCAATGTTTGAAGACGCGGCGGAGTTCAAAGAGTTTGCATATTACATGAAGCACGTCTTATCCCTAGATATACGCGACTACATAGAAGATCCTCATGGTATGTAAAAGAACATTATTAATTTTTTTTTATTATTTATTCTTAATTACTCTCTTCATTATTTAACATCTTTTATTTATTTTTTATTTTTATTTATTATTATTCTAAATGCGCAAGTTGTACCCGAGTTTGTTCGTCGCGTACTGCGGCATTATCCAAGCGTGATAACTTGTACTTTCGTTCCTTGGAACACGTCCTTACGACTTGGTTGAAAACGTCTCTTAAGACATCCTCACGGCTATACCCGACAATCACGATCTCTCAATTGAGGAGCCGGTCGCGCGATGTTCTGAGACTCTCCACTGAGTTGTAATTATTGAATTATCTTTTCGAATGATTCGTTATTAATCTCTAAACAGGACGTGGGTTAGGAATTTGTGTCCATAAACTGCTCACCGTCCGAACGTAGCGATTCGCACTTTCGCTCCCGGGAGCACTCCAGACACCTAAGGACACCTCCTTAACTTTCTCATGTGAGATTTCGTAACGCACGGGGACTCGGTCTGTGACATCGATTTTCTCAGTCGCTGAAGTGGAATATACTACAAGTTCGTTTTTTTGCTGTGAACTTTGGTTTCCAATTGAAACAATTGCGCGCACGTCGATGTTACGAGTGCGACTTCGGGAAAGCACCGGTCCCGTGTCTCTCGTTGACGCGAGTCGAGAGAAGTTTACACCTTTTTGTCGATTCGCCTATGTCTCTCTTCTATCCTTGCCGCGCGCGTCACACGCGTCGCGGCGCCGGCGTCACGCGACGCGGATCATATTGGCCGCGTGGGTGGAGACGTCGCGTCGCTTCGCGCGTCTGTGTCTGCTCGCTAACCACGATCTTTAAACCGAGGAATCCCGAGTCAGTCGCGATGTTCTATTTTTACGTTGCTCGCGATAGCGCTAGCGCGATTAGAGTTTCGATTAATAATCACACTCGCCGTCACTCCAAATCTGACCTTTCCTCCCATAATGCTTTCGTGTTCTCGGCTATCTCTCTACCGATAGTGAAAGTAATATATTCTAAGATCATTTTTCTCTCTCTCTCTTTTCTTTCTCTTCGCGATGGAGTCCTTTCGAAAACGAGATCGATCAATTGATGACAAATTCAATTGGACTCTGGTATTCGGTAAAAATTTTCTTAGTGCAGTTGTACTTCAATGTTCATTTCAAGTGTTCTTGGAGAGTGGAGAATCAGTTCTTTTTTTTTTTCTTTAATTTAACATATTTGCTATACCGGTATTACGTGCAAGAGATCGGTTTATCGCATACATGTGTGTGATAATTAGTAATAATTAAATAATAATCAATGATAATTTTTCTGTGTCCACACATAGACGGAACTGTATAAGCCTGTTTTACACTTCTAATTAGTTACTGCAATTACTCTAAAGAGATACAGGAAGGAATAAACCGCGGTAGCGAGCGTGTTAACTCAATAATAGGGTCATTGCCTCTTTAACGTTCTCCACTTACCACCCGTACAAGGTCACATAAAAATTTTGCCTTCTTCCGTTTTCTCGACTATGTCGTTTTGCGTAAGTGCGATAATTATCGCTTTAGATGAGCAATCCTGCTCTTAATCAGCCACGCGATTTGTCATGATCCGATGAAAGACAGAAAAAGAGAGAGAATGTTGTCAAGCTAAGAGTAGCGGGAAGGGACGACTTGAAAAACTGGTCCTTAAAAGTATCTTAAAAGTGACATACTGAGAAAGATAACGGTGACTGACAAGTCACATTAAGCCGATTATGTGTTTCCGGTTGTATAACACCTTTCGTCACTCCCAACGATTCCCGTGAATCTTTTGTACTTTTGACATTCTCAAACAAACGACACTTGATGAATGACGGTGTTCTGAGAGAAAAAAATTCGTTGAACCAACCAAAATCATGGTTGTTTTCCTAACCATATTTTCCTAACCATGGTTAGCCCTAACCATATTTTTTATTGTTCCAACACAAAAAAATGATTCAGTGACATGCGTATCAGGCTATTGTTACTAATATTGTAGTAGAATTTAATTAATTAAAAAACAAATGGTTTTCTAGAATCTGAATTTCAGTGGAATTTAATAGAAAAATATGTGGTCTGATAATAATTTATAGCAATTGTTTCTCTATGCGACTATAATTACAAATACGAAACATTTTTTTCTCAGTGCAAAATAGTACAAGACAGCTCGCGTGCGACAGAGCGCTATGTGAGCGCGTGCGCGCGATATAGATAATATATTTAACATAGCTCCTATAATTAGCGGCTTTACTCTCGTGCGGTTTCGCGCGCGGAGTCGGTTCATCGAACTTTCGTACCTACCGCGCGCGCTACCGCATCGATTTTATCGAGAATCGATGGGAATGAGTTTGACGCGTGCGCTGGCTCGTAGGAATCTGATTTGTGTGCGCGTAGCGCTTTTTAAAGGCTCTTTACGGAGCGTGACGGCACGGGTAGCGCGCCACCCCAACACGTGAACGACAGCGAACGACAGCCGGTTGCGCTGAGAACTTGCGGTGAGAACCTCATACACACAAATAGACCACAAACAGACGTTCATAGACCAGCAGTCTATATTTTATGTACATTTGAAGGATCACCAATTTTGCCCTACTCTACGAATATAACCTTTACTGCTGCAAAGAGAAATACCGACACAATAAGAGACAAACCAGGTGTCGTTTCGCTACTACTGTAGGTGTCGGTGCTACTTTAGCACCGACATGCGACAAGGATTCCCTGGCTCCCTTTCCTTTACGCACCTGCAAATCATGAATAAGACGCCTGTCAAGGTTAACACAGGTAAAAACTAAAGAAACTGCTTGTCCCGTTCCTTTCTTGTCACGTCTACTGCACCTTTTCTCCGTTGTCCCCTTCATGTCTTACTTCATCCTGATATGATCAGGTGTGAAAAATTAAGTATAATCTGCCAGGTTTGCCTCTGTATGTATGTGTGTGTTTTCACGCAAAACGTAACGCTCACGTGATCGTCTGTTTGCACGCGCATCGTCACGCCGAAATGTCAGGCCGAAAAAGATTTTCCGTAATGTTTCTTGGGCTTTCTCGTAAATAGCGCATGACACGGCGTGTCAAAACGATCATGTTAATCTCGTGGCGACGCGCGATTTAGCTTAGCGTGAAAGTAGCTGGGGAATTCCACTCGCTCTTGCTTCGGTCTTTGACTTCGAAAGAACGCGCGAGGAATACACTCTCTTTCTCTCTCTCTCTTTCACTCACTCACTCTCTCTCTCTCTCTCTCTCATATTGTGGTTTACTTGTCAACCACTTGTTTGAAATTCGCACGTTTTTTTCCCCTTGAAAAATCGATATACGACTCTTCCTTATACTGAGGAAAAAATTCTTACAAATGCAATGTATTTTATTGCTTTCAAACATATTTGATCATTGCAATAATTCAAAGAAATTAATGTTTCAATCAATAAATAGGATTATTCGACTTCTTAAAGTATTTTATTGTCTGGTGCGTGTAATTTATTGTTTGGTTCGAAGAAGAGGATTGTGCTTCACTTAATTTTTTCATTTTATTAAGAAAATATTGTATTAGTTAGTGCAAACAACTATATTAGATCGCGCAAAATAAGACATTTGAAATAAGTTTACTTTTTTTATAAAAACAATAGTTTTTTTCTCTCAATCAAATAACATGATTTATAATCTGGTTGAAAATTTTCTTTAGGTAATACAAACTAAAACAAAATTTGATATAAAATTATGTTGTTTGATATAACAATATTTCGTACGTTGAGAGGCTAAACAAGTCGAAGTCAAACAAATAGGAATACCAAATCCGAAGAGACCCTTTCCTGCATGCACTCGCAAATTTTGTCCTGCCAAAAGTAATTAGCCGCGACGACGCCTCCCGTTGACTTCCCACAACACGTCTGTCAAACGCGCAGCGGACACTCATTTGTCTCTGTCGGCGCATCTTTCAATTTGCATGTTTATCACAAGGAATATATGTGTATTTGTGAATTTTGAGAACGGTAAAAACGCATTCTCTTCCTCGCGACGATAACAGTCGCGACGTTGAGATAGGCATCTCTGTCCCTCCTTGAATTTCATAATGCATATAGAATTAATTCATACCTTTGTGTTTTATTTACTCGCATGTCTGTTGAAACGCGAGAAGTATCGATTTTCATATTATCACTTCTATTTCTATTCATATATATATATATATATATATATATATATATATATATATATATATATATATATATATA